TCCAGCAGAAAGATCCACACTCTCTCTGTCTCCCTCTCTCCCTCTCTCTCTCTCTCTCTCTCTCTCTCTCTCTCTCTCTCTCACTCTTCCTTTCCAGAATATGATGCGAAGAACACAATGCAGAGCAAATACTGGAGTCTGCTGCCCTATCACACCATCTAGTGGTGATCAGTGGCTGCCTTTATATAATTCACCCTTTATAAAGTGACCACAAATATTGTGGAATCAGTTCATAGTGTCTGATTCCTTGTGTGCTGGAACGTATTACACACGAAAACCAGGAGCTGCAGAAACCCAATAATGCTGAAGACACATGCAATGAATTTATCTTGGTTTCATGATGGAAAGAGAAAGTTACTGTCACATGTGATCATGTGAACAACAAGAAAGAAAGATAACATTAAGGAGAAGAAGTAAAACTAGCAACACATTTAGGTGACATCTGCATAACTGTGAAGACCGTGTAGACCAATTTCTGATTTCCATAAACAAAGTTCATTCATCAAACTTGAAGAGATAGTTACCGTGACAGTAGAATAGATGTTGCTAATGGCTTATGCATGAAGACACGAAGACTGTTACCGTTGTTGCTGAATGCTGACCCCTTGTGGGCTCCAAAACATCAGTGAGCTGCACAGATGTTACCTACACTACTAACTTTTACTTACCCCAACTGAATCGCAACCTTTTGGATGCCTGTGTCACATTGGAAGCCATTACAAATACACCAAAGGACCAACATTGATGGTAACAGTTAGCTTTAACTTCACTTGAGATTCTTGAGTTTAGACATTTGAAATCCATAATTCCACTCCTCAAGTGATCTAAAGAATATGAACTTTCAGTATTCATCCAGATTTTTTTTGTTACTTTAAATTTTCTTTTGTCATTAATCAGCTTTTTCTTATGTACAATTAAAGATGTTCAGCTATTTCCAACTTTAAAACTTCTTCTTTTCAGCTTTCAACAGTTCTGCACTTTGGCTTTCAGGACAATAATATGGTGTATTTCAGCTCATTTAACATTTTTTTCATCTGATTAGAAATATTGACAAACTATATCCAATGCAGCCTATGCAGATATAAACCTTTGCTGCACAGACCGTGAATTACATATTTTTTCCCCCTGAATCTCAATTGTTTTGTTTGTGTTGTATTTTGCTATACTACCACATTCAGTCGCAGACTACTGTGGCATCTTGTTATTCCACTGCAACAGGTATGACTTACTTTTATCTCTAAATTCAACCGGCTTACAGCCACTTATCATTAAAGAATATTGACATTTGAGTTGAAGCTGTCATTACGTCACATTTATATGGCAAAACCACCAGTTGTTTACTTCCAAAGGTCATTGTACATGCAGTTTTTAAAAGGAAAGCGCCCTGCATTAGAAACACAATATTCACTCTTCAGAACTCTTCAGATCTGACAAATCAGACTTCCACAATGGTGAGTTTTATTTTTGCAAATTCAGAAGAAATTCAGTTAACGGCTGATTTTGATAGGCTAAAGTAATGACAACATTATCATCAAATGTGATGTTTACTGGTAATTAAATATACATAAGTAAGTACTTTGATGGTGCCTAATCAAACTGCAATTTTTCCCCCCCGAAGAAATACTTGGCTCTGGCTCTGCTGCTGTGCACTCTGCTGTCACTGACAAATAGTCAGTGCTTTTTTAAGCCTCAGACATATGGTGAGAAAAAAGGAATAATACATACTGAAAGACATAAAGTATATTCTTTGTGCACACACATAAACATTGAAAAATGTTCATGATCTTTTTTTTCACTCATAGGTATGACCCATTGTAAGGATGATATAGATGAGACATGGCATGCAGTGGGATCTAAATGGAGAAATAGTAAATGCTGGGACTGTAATTGCGAAGGATGCTGTGCTGGGTAAGTACATTTATTACTGTTATTTAAGTAGAGGAAAACATTAGTCATCTCGACTTCACATAATACACTGTTAACTGTGTTAACTTTACTTTATTGTCACAGGTATGTCACCCCACAACAGTTCCCCGACGACTGTGTGTCAGTGTTTGACTCAAAGAGATGTGAATATGTAGTGCACAAAAGAGATAACCCAACAGAACGATGCCCAATTTTTGCTGCAACCGGAAAGTGAGTCAATCAATATTTAGACTCTTGAATAAAAATCCATAAATATGTCTTTGGTGATTACCACTGAATGCAAAAACAACTAAATAAAATAATTAAAAGAAAAATGTGGGTGGTGATGCTTTTTATTTAGTCATGACTGCTATCGCCTGTCTGAGTTTGTCTTATACCCACTTCTTCAACAACTCTCTGACACCCAACTTCCATTTCCACTCCCAGCTCCAAAGTCCAAGACAGAGATCGCTCACTCTGTCACCAAATACACCATCCCTTCAGCTATGAGAGGAGATGTCTCATGAAGCTCTGATTTATTTGTTCTTGGTGTTTATCTTCAGTCCCAGTTAGTTTAGTCACACACATATTAAGCTACACTGTCAGCTTGCTATAATGTGTAAAATGAGATTAAGACATTTTCACCCAAACTGAGTACTCACTGTCATGGTTCTGGGTCTCTGACCCTGTGTGGAGAGGTTGTTGGACTTTGAGGCTTTATTTATTTGTATTATCTCTTTGTTTTGTGGTTTGGTTGGGGTTTTATATTTAGTGTATTTAGTTCTCTTCCTTTAGTTTATTCCTCCCTCAGTGTTTATCCTTTCTTGTCTAGGCTAATGTATTTAGTTCATGCAGATGTCTGTGCGTCTCTTCACTTATCACTTTTCTTGCCTCCTCCGTGTTGCGTGGTGAAGTCTCTGTCTAAGTGTTCAGTGTTTTCATGTTTTAATTACTTCCTGTCTTATTTTGATAGTCCCTCATTGGAAAAAAAAACATACCTGTAATAGTAAAGCACAGTGACAACTCATCATGTGATATCAGAACTGAATATCTATTTACCTTGAAGCAAGAACTAAATCGTTTTCCAAAAAATGCTGCCTGACCTTTGAAATTAAACAGAAGGGAGGGGTGGTCTATCCCACTGCCCATAACTTCCAGTAAGCTTGTACGCTTGCATGCAAACTGTGTTTGTTTAAACTTGGCATATCAAGTTATTTCTCCGATTTAAAAGAAATAAAGAAGATCTGAATATTTGTTGATTTGACTGTTTAACTAATTCTTAAAATGAATACAAACTAATAGAAAAACGACTTTCTCGAGCACCACTCTTGGTTGTTTGCTTTTTGAGACATTTTGACCTCTTCCACATGTATGTAGCGAATCTTCCCATCTACATCTACATCCATAGGTGTTTAAAAGGAAAGCATCCTTTGTTGCTCAGACTGTTGCTTTTTGGATCTGGCAAATCTGACTTCCATGATGGTGAGTTTCATTTTTGTTAGTTAACAGTTGTTTTGTACATTTCTGACAGGCTAAAATTATATAAATTATGGCAATAAGCAGCAATTTTATAAAACTTAATGTTTACTGGTAGTTAAATGTACAGAAGTAATTACTTAGATGGTGCCTAATCAAACTGCAATGTTTGTTTTCCTCTGAAGAAATATTTGGCTCTGGCTCTGCTGCTGTGCGCTCTGCTGTCACTGACAAATAGTGAGTGCATCAACAAAAAAATTAGAACCTGGCAAGAAAAAAACAGAAATAACACACAGAGATAAACATACACTCACATTTTTTTAGTTGAATAGGAACTGTGCCAGAATAATATCTATCTATCTATCAACCCATTGTAAGGATGACAATAATAATTGGCATGCAGTGGGCTCTAGATGGAGAGCTAATTGTTGGGACTGTACTTGCACCAGATGTTGCCGTGCCTGAGTGTTTACATTAAATTACTGGTATTTAAATAGATGGAAAAATCAATTATATTTGACTTTACATGATGCACTGTTAACTGTGTCTTTTGCATTATCACAGGTGTGCCACCCCACAACGGTTCCCTGATGACTGTGTGTCAGTGTTTGACCCAGAGGCATGTGAATATGTAGTGCACAAGAAAGATGAGCCAACAATACGGTGTCCAGTTTTTAGTTCAGTATTGAAGGGATTCGTTTTTTATGGCGTTCTGGAAGTCTGAAGATTGGTGTTTCATATAAATGATGCCTTTCATGTCACTTTCCTGCCATTTTTCAAAATGCCTGTTAGTCGTTTTAGATTCTTGAACAAGAATTCATATGAAACCAACCACCAACTCTCAGTCACTTTTTCAGCTCAGGCATCTCAACCTTCAGTTCCACAGGCAGAGATCTGGCAATCTGTCACTCACCAAATAACAGACGTGGGAATTATTAAAGGAAAAACACATCATTATTATACTTTGGGAGAATTTTCAAGTACCTTTGCTTTACTTGAGTATTTATTAGTTAATATTTCTGAGTATTAATAGTATTATTATTTATTCTGAAAACTTTTCACTTGTACTCCCCACATTTTTACACAAATATCTCTACTTTCTATTGCTGTATACGTATCTGTATATGATGTGAAGTTATGGGTTTTTTCTGGTTTAAAGAGTTTTTTAAAAGTATAAACAGAATACTATCGGTGGGCATGGAAACTGGCAATATGTTGTTGAATTCAGCTCTGCAAATTCATAAAGAGCAGTAAACCTCAGCAGCGTAGATCAGTGTAGATTTTCACAAAGAAAATCTATTAGAGTTCATGGAAATTATTGTGAGTTGTGATTCTTTTCCCCACGCATAATCACTAAAACCCCCATCTGCCGAATCCCACTTTAACCCCTGACTATACTCACTTTTCTGTTTACGTGTGGAGGCAAAGTCACCTTCTAAAATTTAGGCA